GTGTACGCCGTCAGAAATTCAACAGTTATATCCTTGCGGACACGTGTACGCCGTCAGAAATTCAACAGTTATATCCTTGCGGACACGTGTACGCTGTCAGCAATTCTTAAATGTATACATTTTGGGGTTTCATTAAAAAATTAAAAATATCCCCAAACTGGACATTTGGCGACTTTTTGGATTGTTTTCCCATCCATCTTGAATAGTGTAATGGCCTGGCAATGTTGTCCTACCAATATTTAGCTTTTCTGCATATTTATTTAACTTTTTTCTTTGTTTTGCCATAAGCAACATCAGGCCCACTGTTTCCCATTTCAATTAATATTTATACTTTTTCTTTTTTTACAGTATAACAAATTCTTGTTATGACTATCAACCTTTTCCAAAAAAAAAAAAAGATGATAAAGTTCGAGCCAGAAGAACCTTGCAATCTGCAGCCAATGCCATTCTTTGCTAGTCATTGTGAGCATGTGCAATGAGGATGTAAAATGTTTAAATCTTTTGTAAATGTAAAAACTTATCTTACATAGTACCTACATTAGTGATAAACTATTGCAGTTTAGATCATTTTTTACAATTGAAAATATTTAATAAAACAAAATAAGAAGATTATTAATATGTAAAAAGTCCTTGTTACAACTGAATCTTGAGAAAAACTAAACGTACAATACCTCTTCCACTACTTTCTTGGCCTCTTCGTATACTTCATTCGTTAGAGCTTCCATTAAATAAGAGCCTCCCCAGGGGTCAATCACCTGTTAACAAATTCTCATCTTTAACACTATTATGTCACAATCAAGCATGTCATCTTCATTAATTCATTTGACCAATCTCATAACCATTTTGTACTCATTATAGTTTCCATACTATAACTTTTAATACACTTTTTTAAATTTTTAAAAATTTGGCAAACTTTTAGTTTGTTTGTTTGTTTTTGAATTTCACACAAAGCTATATGAGGGATATTTGTGTTAGCGATTCCTAATTTAGCAGTGAAAGACTAGATGGAAGGCAGCTAGTCATCACTACCAACAGCCAACTCTTTTACCAAAGAATAGTGGGACTGACCATCACATTATGTCACCTCCACGGCTGAAAGGGCGAGCATGCTTGGAGGGATTGGGAATCGAACCCAGATTGAGAGTCAAGCACCTTAACCACCTGACCATGCCGAGCCAGCAAACATTCAGTAAACATTACAAGTCTTTTGTACATAAAAAATCAGATTTTTTAATGAAGTATTTTTACTAAAGATTTGTCCATGAATATATATAGTATTACTATATACTAGTCCAAGTGGTTTCTACGTTAAGATTAAAAATAATTTACTTCGTCTCAAATATATAAAATTTTATTTGCATGATCTCTAAAACCTCCTAAATACATTTCAAACGTTTTTATCAGTTAAACTTCATATCTTATCTGTTATTTTTCTCTACCCTAATTTTATACAAGGTTGGTCAAATTGACCGACCTCGTAACCACTAAAAAAATGAAAATAACCTTTTTTTTTATAGAATGACTTCAAATTGTAACATAAAAATTACATTTATTTATCCTTTATAGCTTTACACTCACAACAGCATATATGTATTTATGCTTAATTTTATTGCTTTACTTCCCTTTTAACCCTGACTAATTACTATTCATGCCATTATAAGTTGTAAATCACTTTGTGACCATGCAGCTAACGTTACACAATTGAATTACATTATGCATAATCTACTCGCGAGCATTATCTCATGAAAATTTTTTATATTGTTAATATTTATTTCACCTAATCTAACCTAACATAAAAAGTTTCCTATTTTTACATTTTAGTTACTTTTATAATAATAAATAATGAAAAACAAGAAAAAAATATTCAACTGGATCTTTTTATTTATTTTTTTGCTGTCGATGACACTTAACCCTACCTTTTTTATACTAATGTTTGTACTGCCTAAATAATTTTTTTATTTAATTAAATAATGCACCAAAAAACAGATTAATAATGTGCAAAAAGCAGACTATGTCCCATACCTATAACAATTTTTCTGGCTTTCTAACTATGTGACAAGAGCCGTTAAAACTTCATCTAAGCTCGTCAATGTGTTTCCCATGTTAATCAACCTTGAACTGAAATTGACAATTCTCTTTACGGAAAACAACATAATATAATACTTCATTTGACAGATGAAAACCTTGGCTTTCTATTAGTTATAAGTAATATAGTATTGAATGTCAGAGAGACCTATTGGCAATTTCTGAAAGAAAGAATGTGACAGGTGGGCGTGACAAGAAGGGTCTGGTTATCTATCTTAATAAGATTGAAGGCTATAAAAATTATGCTTTGTTTGAGCAATCACAATACTATAATAATTAATTTATGTTAAATTTTGTACTTCTTGGAGGGTTTGTAAATAAATTAGAGAAGAGAGGATGCCTAGAGAGCAAATGTCACAATTCTCACACTAGGGGAATTCTAGATTTTTGTTTTTATTTTGCCTTATAAAAGTAAGAACTCAAAACTTATATATTGTTAACATATATATATATATATATATAGATTATTAGCTACATTTTTTATGTTATAGCGGTTTAATTAAATTTTGAATGTAACTCATTAATCCTCGTGATATGCGCAGAAAAGATGCCCATGGAGAGAGAGGGTTACGTAAATTTCTTGCAGATCAAACTATATCCTAAAATAAACATATATAACATCAGTCGACTTTCAGTTGACTTATGTATTATATGTTTTGACAAACTTAGATTACATACAGTGTTTTGATTGAGCAGATAACTGAATATTATTTCTGTTACTGGAATAGAGAGTACACTACAGCTATGCCATGTTTGGTCCACCTGCTAGTTTTTAAACATCTTAAAACTCCGATTAATGAAGAATTAGATCGTTAAACAGTTTATTATATGATCTATGATACGATCTATACCATACTTCAAAGATGAATCATGTGACACTTTTAAAGATATGAGCATAATCAAAGGCATGAAACAACACTGTTCACATATTCACAATGTCTGATGTAACTAAGGAAGGTTTTTCACAAAGGCATGAAACAACATTGTTCACATATTCACAATGTTTGATGTGAAGGTTTCTCATGAGCCAATTTGTAAGAAAAGGTGAATTTATTTTTCAATAATAACAGTGAGAAATTGTATTCAAATTACTTTAAACTGACTTAAACAGAATCATTTATAACATTTATGCTTTATCTTAGTACAACAACAACATCTTTAAAAGGTACTATTAGATTTTATTATTTCAATCAAATATGAATGTTGCAATTTTTTTTTTTTTAATAATCAACAAATTTATTGATAACAAATTGATATTATATATTTTTTTTTATATCATACCCTATATTTATAAATCATAAACTTACATGAGGAATTCCACTTTCCTCCTGCAGGATGATTTGCGTGTTGCGAGCGATACGAGCACTAGCTTTGGATGGTAGAGCAAGAGCTTCGTCAAAAGAGTTTGTGTGTAGAGACTGAGTACCCCCAAAAACAGCAGCCATGGCCTCGATAGTTGTCCTTACGATATTGTTGTATGGATCCTGAAATTAGGAGAGAGTGCAAGTGATAGTAATCTTGAACATACACTGAAATTTAAAGCATATGACTGAAAAAAAAAATGTTTGCTAATATTAATGTTTTAACTTTGCAATTTACTATTTTAGCAGATCATCGTAAAATGAATTTATGCTAAAAGTATGCAAAACTTTTCAAAAGCCCAATGTAAAAAATAGAAGACCCAAATAAATCGAAATATTTTTTTTTAAATATTGAGAAAACATACTTGTGACAAAATTGTAAGATTATTTATTTACAGTAAACCTCACAACTATTAACCATTAGTAAACCTAGCTGTACAATTATATTTCAACAAATATCCATTTAAAAACGTTTACACTATATAATGGTTGGAGACGGCTTGAATGGGTAATGAAGAAAAACTTTAATATAAGTTTAACATAACAGCAAACGTACAACGTTTCGACAAGGATTTGTCATCATTATCCATTCAAGCTGTCTCCAACCATTATTAGTCTCAAAGTGGGTTCCTTGTCATCGAATTTGAGTTTATACTATATGAATCTGAAGGAAATTTCATTTGTTAACAAATACTTTTATTTGTTTTACAAGAACCCCAAGTGGCAAAAAGTTAAACTAAAATATCCCTCAACTACAAAATAGCTTAAGACAAATAAAAGCATAGTTTTACATGGTAACCTATATTTACTTTTCACAAATTCTACATCATATGTAAAACCCCTGAACCCCCACAAGCAATAATTTAAGTTCTTCGTTATTTACCGGTGCCATTGAGTTAATTAGTAAGTGTGAAATAAGAAGAATGGTCTTCTTTAACACCATATAAAACACGTTCATTCTTACTTGTTCTGTTAGAGACCAGCCTGATGTCTGACTGTGTGTGCGAAGAATACACGACTTTGGATTTTTAGGACTGAAGTGATCTTGTATCAATTGTGCCCACAATCTCCTGGCTGCTCTCATCTTAGCTATTTCCTTCATGAAAAATATAATAAAACTCAGTGTATATATATATATATTTTTACAATTCACTTTAATGATGATAATTTAACACTCTAAACTCAGACACTAGGAATAGCACGTAAAGAGAGATTATGTGTAAAATTAGGCAACAAAGAATCCCAACATAAATCTCTATGTTCAAGACTGGAACACAGACAAACTATAAAGAAACAAAAAGGTAATTTGGAAAAAGGCAAAATATGAATCCAGCTTTAACGCTAACAGTAAAGACTCGAGCCAGGTCTTCGTGTCAGAAAAAGAAGTTATTGACATTTTTCCTTACACAAGTCTTTACAAACAAGACTTCTGTGGTAACGAATGCCTTGGATAAATAAATAAAAGGTAAAAAATTCCAAAGGTCACTATTACAAAATGATGATCATTGTTCTCACCTTTTCTCATGGTTCACGGCTTGGACAGACTTGGTTAGACTGTGGTCAGGTACTTGACCCGTACTTGTTCCTGATTAGTTGGTGGTAAGCAGCAAGGATTATGTTTAAGCTAATGGTGGATGATATTCCCCGGTCTCTGTTGACTGGTATAATTCTTGCCATTCTTCCAAAAGGTGTGAAAAATGTTTTACATTGTCTTGTTACCTTCATTTCTTGCTTCATGTTTATCTGTGATATATATATATATGTGTGTGTGTGTGTGTGTTTGTAATTTTCACGTTTTGTTTTCCAACATTTCGAAACAAAGTACAAATTTAGGAATAAAACTTCTACAATCATACTGCTATGTAAAATCAAGGGACTAGAGGACACAAGAATGGAGGTTTATCCCGAGGAGACAGATGTGGACTGAAGGGACTAGAGGACACAAGAATGGAGGTTTATCCCGAGGAGACAGATGTGGACTCAAGGGACTAGAGGACACAAGAATGGAGGTTTATCCCGAGGAGACAGATGTGGACTCAAGGGACTAGAGGACACAAGAATGGAGGTTTATCCCGAGGAGACAGATGTGGACTGGATGGAAAAGAAATTTTAAAACTTGGAGAAAACAGCGAGAACTGATCACCACACATTATACAAGGTAACATACAAGCATCAAACCCTACTGAACCACGGACAAAATAGTTAGAAAACAATTAATATTGAACCTCAGAGCCTCCAGCTGTGCAAGACAGGATAATAATAACACGGGTGTCTGGAAAACAAATAAAACACTCCATAACTTATACCTAGGTATTACAACATGCCTGTTTAAAATAAAGGTGTGGCAGAAATAAAACATGATATAAAATAATACACACAGGGAAAAAAATTGAAAAATAAATTGAACTTATGAGAGGCTCCTAAATCTGGAGCTGAACAGCAACTTGAGAAAGAACACACAACATAAGTATGTATGTATGTATTGATACACAAGGCTCAGATTTTTTCTCTAGTGAGATCCTAATATTATTAGTGAAGGAAAAAGACAAGCACATGACCTAATAAGAAAAGACTGATAATTTACACTGAGATTAAATGATATGTCACCAACAAAAAGAATCACAGACAACTGTTTCATGAAATATCAGCATGAGATCAAGCAAAAAATAAATACAATGTACACAACAAGAATGTCCTGAAAAATACAGCACATGACAACAAAGACTGAAGACAACAGCCTGTCTGAACTACGTTAATCTATTAAACAAAAATAAAGATAAAAAGTCCATGGGAGAGAATTTGGAATCTTGAGCTAGAGAAGTTTAAATTTTGAGTATTGTGGACCAATAAAAATAAGGAAAAAACGATTCCTCCACAAAATGGAGTATAGAAAACACCTAAAACAGCCAGAAACTCAGAGCAACAAAACAGGTGGCAAAAATCAATCAAAATCACCAATTCAAAGAGTGAGAGAAAAAAACTTTAGGACAAACTTTAGTCTATAAAGATTTCAAAGGCAGGTGGGACCAAAAGGACCTAAAAAACTTTGAAGGAAAATGAAAAACACGTCATCTTAATGTTATAACAATGGAGAAAAACTAGGAAATTAATATTAGTTTCACTTATAAACTAAAAATGGCACAAAAGGATCAGTTACATTCCTCATTATGTCTCATCTGTCTCACTACGGAAACCAAGAATCAATGAAATAAGAGCATTAATATGAGAAACACTTCCACTCAGACTCATAAAACACCCATAAGGAGAAATTATACGGTGTTCAACTATTTGATGATAGAACAAAGATTGCACAAGGAGACAGCAGTAGAGCCAATGGTGGTAGAAAAGGGCAGAGGTTTTGCCACACAGAACCACTAAGAAAGACGTAATAACCACAACACCAGGATACGTCTCAGATGTAGATAAACAAACAGCATTTACATGAAGACGAGACCAATCTTGGGACAGAGCATTTACCCACTAGATCACTTGAACCAGAAAAACCAAAAATTGAGAACTTAAGTGCTCAGATACGTAATAAAAGATCTAGTTGAGGTATTTTACACTCAACATAGCCGCTTGAGGCCTGTGGATGGATGGAGCACGTGGACAAGAGAATCTGGTTTTTGGTAAGAGCCGTCATCCCTTTATTATGAGAATCACATAACTGAATGGTGGTCATAGAAATATGAACATGGAACTCAAGAAAAAACTGAAATTTACATTTGCAACCAAAGATGGATGATGCCAAAAGTAAGAAAACTAACTACCAAACCAACAACAACAAAAAATGTGGAACAAAATATTATTACAAAAACTAGGAAACAAATTTTTAAGACTTTCATGCGTCCTTTTTAGCCCTAAAGAGTGAAAAGAAGAGGACACATGAAAGTATCAAAACAAGTTTTCCTAGTCTTTGTACTAATATTTTGTTCCCAAATTGTTTTTTTTTCATTATACATGGCATTATATATTTAAGACCATTATCAACGCCAGTGGGAGACGGTCTAGTGGACCAGAAAGATTGAAGTTAATCCCTAACACAAGCAGAACACAAATGATACACCACCAAGTAAAAATAACAGGATCATTTTAAGAAACTTCACAAATATCAGCATGACAAACCTGAATGCAAGCAAAAAACTAACTGCAACATCCAAAACAATGATGCTTTGACCAACATAGTACATGACAACAATGATAAAAAAACAATAACCCATCCCTGCTAGCCTGATCTATGGAAAAATATAATGATAAAAGTCTATGGGAGAAAATAAAGAATCCTCCTCTAGAGAACTTTATATTTTGGAGATCATAAATATAATATAAATATAGAATATTATCCATCCATAAAATAGTCTGAAGTTAATTTTAAGTTACTTCTTTATTCATTTAGTTTATGTAACACCAACAAATCATGTTAATTTACTACAGATAAACAATCAATGTGCTTATTTAACATCACATGCATAGTACAGTAATAATGTATTAGTCTGATGTAAAACCATGTATATAGTACAGTAATAATGTCTTAGTTTGATGTAAAACCATGTACATAGTATACTAATAATGTCTTAGTTTGATGTAAAACCATGTACATAGTACAGTAATAATGTCTTAGTTTGATGTAAAACCATGTACATAGTACAGTAATAATGTCTTAGTTTGATGTAAAACCATGTACATAGTACAGTAATAATGTCTTAGTTTGATGTAAAACCATGTACATAGTACAGTAATAATTTCATGTAAAACCAGTAAATAAAAGATGTTTTTCTAGATTATTGTATCTTTATAACAAACTAGCTCAGCATTTGGAGATTAGGCATATAGTATAAGTTACAAATTAATGGAAACTTTAATATGAATACATTTGTAGCTTCGTCAGCAAGATTGTCAACTTTCTGGTTTATTCATGTCAAACACACAGTTGTAGCATGTAATATTTTAGTTTCTCATTTTTATAAAAACTTGTTTTACCATGTAAAAATTCATTCCGATTCCCCAGAAGAATGACAGTCGAGGAGCAAATTCGTCAATGGTAAGACCAGCCTTTAACCCTGTTAAATTAGTAAACACAAAGGCTTTATGATCTGCAGTTAAAGAAACTTTCATCATCTTCTTAAGTACACACGCTTTGACACGATACTGTTTAACGAGCAGAGAATCTTACACTTTATACCATTAAGTACACTTCAAACTAGTGTTAACAATCAGCCTTATTTCTAACAGATGACTAGGCCTTAATTCACAACTTTTCTGTTTACAGTTTTTAAATGATGAATTTCAGATTTTAATCATTTTAAACTGTAAAAATGGGCCATGATTAAGTAAATTTCAAATCGCAGAGTCACAAAAAAATTCTAATATAAATCTATCTCCTTTAAATAAAAAAAATTATATATATATAAAAGTTTATCATTAGAATTTTCTGATGAACTCCTTTTAGTTGATGCCATCTCGGTGACAGTTTGGAAATGTCACTTAACTCTGTGATACAAACATCCTCAGCATATGCTAACCGTTTGTTGATAAAAGTAACATTTGGCCTACAACAAAGTTCATTAACACACCTTAAGCGTGAGACAGATTTTCAAAACCTTTCAATGTCTCTCTGTGAAGATTTAACAGTACTTAAGTATAGATTTAAAATCTCTCACATCTACAAATTACAAAATCAATTGCTCTTCGTTCTCTCATAATACTAGAAGGTGTAATCGGTTTTCATGAAAAAAATTCTAAAAAATAAAATTACTAAGTAACCAAGATTTTATTTTGTACCAAGTGTATTTATCTCAACTCTATAATTCATGACATGATCACTTTTGTTTTTGAATCTAGTAAAACTATTTCTTTATCTTTCATCAAAATTAGTTCAGTAGAAATGAGAAGTTACAGCCGATCACTGTTAACTCCTGTTTATAGGTGTGTAATGAATTTTTTGTTGTTTGTTGTTAAGCACAAAGTTGCACAAAGAGCTATCTGTACTCTAACCACTGCAGAAATCAAAACCTGATCTTTAACATTTATAAGCATTATAGGTAAAATAAGTAATAATAATATAATTAAAATGTTTCACGAGGAACACATGCGAGCAGCTCGTGGGTAATGTAATTCGATAGCGTAATGTGAGCTGCATATTCCCCGAGTAATTTACAACATATAATGGTACAGGTACTAGTTATACACGGTTCAAAGGTCAATAAAACAATAAAATTTAATTATAAATAGATGTATACTGTTACGATCTTAGAGCTACTTAGGATAAACGAATGTAGTTTCATGTTACAATTTGAAGTCATTCTAGAAAAAAAAAAAGGGTAATGTAGGTTTATTTAGATTTTTTTTTATGGTTACGTGGTCGGTCGAATTGACTGATCCTGTTTTGGTAGAGAAAATAACATATAAACTATAAAGTTTTAGTGAAAAAAAAAAACGTTTGAAAGGAGGTTTTAGGGATTACACAAGGGAAATTTGAAATTATTGAGATGAGGAAAACTTTTTAATTTTAACATGAAAATTACTTTGCACTCGAACTATTCAAAACAAATACTCAATATATTCATGTACAAATATTTTATTAAAAATACTTCACTAAAAAATATGACTTTTTGTATGTGAAAGACTTGTAATGTTAACTGAAAGACTGCCAAATTTTGTGAAGATACACACTATATTGAAAGTCAGAAGTCTTAAATCTATACAGACTTCAATCAAGTGTAAAGAGGTCACATGGTCGGTCAAATTGACCGAGCCCGTGTTGAGAGAGTTAACGTGCTTGGTAGGAAATTATATATATTACATTATCCAATCTTATAACCATAGCTTTAAAGTAAACAAGAGGGAATACTCAATAGCCATGGCTGTAATTAAATCTCAAATCGGTCAAGAGATGGAGCTACAAGCTAAATGTTTGTACTTGAAATAAAAAACTCGGAGCCATTTTATGAGCCGCTATGCTGAGGCTAAAAATACTCCCGTCCAACACAGAAACAAACATGGAAATCACAATGATAAATGGTTATTTTTTACCAATATACTGGTCAAACATGAAGTACAGGACTCTGTCACTTTACATTTAAATAACTTTAACTTTGTGTTTTTTCTAAATGTACTGTTAATTATACACTCAAATGAATCTAATAAAGATATAAGGATATATGAAGATGATAATAAACTTGATGATTTGATTAATCTAATTCAGACATGAATCTAAAGACGATGATGAATTTATTAATCTAGACATGTTTGATTTTTTCATTTTACTGAAGTCCAAATTGTATATTTATTTAAATTTGGACTTCATTTAAGTGAAAAATTATATAAAAGGTGTGACCATTACTATACACGGACTAAAAGTCCAGATTAGAAACTCCACAGTTCAGGCACAGCCACTTTCCCTAATGTAGAACTGCTAACCAGAATTAACTATTAAGTTTCCTAGAAATAAAAGTGCAGAGTGTGAGCTGCAGCATATCATGACTCAAACCTTGGACCTA